TCCTTCCCCTCTGAGACAGGATGCTAAATGTTACAGCTGGCAGCTTCTTGTTAGGAGGTGTTAAATATTACAAGTGACACGGTGGCCATCATCAGTGAAACAGGTTTCATCAGCTTCTGGGAGCTAGGAGCAGCCTACTCTAATGCACGGAGCATCTCTGTGTGATCTCCTCCAAAAAGGAACAGAGTTACACGTCGGGGAATGCTGTGTGGAATCCTGTTAGGGTGGAAACTTGTCACTCTGCATTTTTAAAAGAAATCTTAGAAAAAGAATTGCTGGAGCACTCCCTTTTGCGGTGGGAGGGAAGTGTGAAGGAATGCAAATGGGAAAGACTTGGGATAGCACTGCTACCTAGAAATTGGCTGTAAAGCATGAGGTGAGGGAGAATAAGTTGGCATTTGGGTCATGGCAGGCTCACTGTTACGCACTTCTGCAGCAGCCTGGTCCTGCATCCAAGAGCTGCTCACGTTGCTCTGCTCTGAATATGTGATAAAAATTCAAGCAAATATACTTGTGACTGTGTCTTTCCTGGTCTAATCCCTTCCTGAAATGTCTTTTTTTTTTTTTTTTTCTGATAGCGATTTATTCATTTGCGCAGTCTTTCAGTTATTTGGAGGAACCTAGTCGAACCACCTTTTAGTGCTGTGCGTGTGGGCTGCCCCCCCTCAAAGCAGGTTTTTGGTTTGGTGAGACAGTGTAAAGTCCACGATCTGCCAGAGCCAAATGGAACAGCACTAGGTCAGTTTCTAAAGGTACTTTTAAGGCTCTTCCTGGGCGTCTTGGAGTCCTCTTTGAGGTAAACAGCCTTGCAGAAAGGTCGATATTGAATCAGCAAAGAAATAATCTTCCATGAAATGGAATGGAGCTGTAGATGATTGTGACTGGGGAAGGGTGTGATGCTTGATGGGAAGGAAAAAGAAGCTGGTTAGTAAGACTGGTTAGTCTGTCTGGGTGGTTAACCTCAAAGGCACACAAATATTGTTATTACAGTTATAAAACTGTAGCTGCTGCTTTCATTTTGATGTTGTAGTATGGCAGCAGATGAAGCCAGCCCTAAAGGGACCCGCTGTCTGCTCTATTCGCGTTAGAGGTAGTCATTCTATATGTTGTCTTATAGGGCGAGGGCTCAGTAATCTCTTCTGTTACACCATATGCTAATACAGTGCTGATAAGCAAGTGAAAAATGAAAGGGAGGAATACATTAATTGTATTTGTGCAATAAGGTATGCTATCAAAGGTAATTATTTCATGACAGTTTTAGTTATAGCAGTTGTTTTATCATGGAATAAAAGATGGCTTTAGGAGCCTTTTATTGGAAAGACAATTGTACCAAATTAGTACCAAATTAGATTTTTGTCTTTATAAAGGTGAGCAAACCCATGAGCAGTTTTTAAATTGGTGTCTTTTACTCTACAAATGAACAAATCCTGTTTGAGGGTTAAAGAAGCGATTATTCTGTCCTTTATGCTGACAGCTTCGTTACAGATTGGCCTACTGTTGGTATTAAAAAAATGTTTGGCTCCTTATGATCTTTGTGCATGCAACTATAATATTAATACAGACCACAGAACTGTTCATTAAGAAATGACTTTAAATGAGGTTGATGCTTGTAAATCTGGAGAGATACAGATGTTAAATGCTGCCATTCCTTTTCATATACAGCTGTATGGCTAATAATTTCCAAGTGGCTAAAGCTCTTGTTAGCAAGAGTGCTGGTGTGTTAAGAATGGCCCTATAAATAACTTTAAGAACTGAAGTTGAAGGTGCTTCTTTTAAAGACTATTGTTAACTAAACATTATTGCCAAACAGATGGAAAGCATTCACCAGCCTGATGTTTTTTGGTCTAATTATATTATCGCCAGTCCTGTACGGCTCAGTTGAAGAGGTGTATCCAGAGGCCAATTTATAATCATTTAGCCAACACCTGTTTGGGAGATATTGACAGTCAAAGGGCACATCAAAAAAAAAAAAATAATCACATATGTTCTTGTATTTATCGCCTCAATGTGAACGATGTCTAGTTACAAACAAACTTGGAAGAAGAAGAAGAAGGAAAGTGACTGTAAATGCATAGTGGTTTCCACTATTATTACCTTCTTTTGACACCTTTTGTAAAGTAACTTGTATTTTTGTTCTGTTCTTTTGATTTTGTTTGATATTTTTTTTTCACGAGAAGATCTAGAGCACCAGTTAAAATTGTGTGCAACCCGAGTAGAAGAGGAGGTTTTGATCATTCCTCTGCAAAAAGTCTTTTTTTGGTGCGAACTGACTTGGTCTTCACTGCAGCTTGTCTGTTCACTTGGAGTTCTTGCATCTTGTCTATTGAAATCAAAAGTTTGGTAGCCCCACTGCTGGCATTTGCAGCCCTTTAGGTCTTTGATTTTGCAGTCTAAATATTCAGGTATAACTGGATGCGAATATACTGGAAGTTTACAGTGTCTGTTGTAAGGAAACAGTGAGTGCCTCTCTAGTTCTTGTTCCTAGAGGAGGGTTGAGCTTGTGCTGCTCATGTGGCTGTCTTGCAGCTGGTGCTTTTCAAGTACATCTGTGTTGTCGGAGTTGGAAAATAATTCATTCCTGAGCAGGGTGATTTGAAGATGGAGATAAAGAAGGGTTCCGGCTCCCTAAACATGCAGTGTCCCAAATATATATGCACATACATATTTTTGTTTGTTTTCAACACATAAATAAATGGAGCTTGCTAAGAGGGGAGTAGTTATTTAGTACTTCTTTCATTGCTGTGCTGTGTTTAAAGTGCTCTCAGTAGAAGTGACGCACTCCTGACAGAGATGCTTTCTGCAGCTGTAGGTATTCTCCTCTCTGCAGTGAACCAATGCACTCATTTCTCCCTAAATAAATCCTCTCTTTTTCTGTTGTTGCTTTTATTAGTTTACAGTAGCACAAAGGGAATTCCTTGTGGCCATTTCTGTTGTGACTTATGAATGCTGCAAAATAAAAATGGCAATGGAGGAATGAGACAGGGGTGACTATTCAGTTGATAAAATAATTTTTGTGGCCTGGCCATGTGTGTGACCAGCTTGTAGTTTAGCTTCATGGAAAGCAGGTATGGAGCTACTCTGCAAAAAAAGAAGACAAACCCACAGACAATCCCTCTGGTAACTCACTGGTAGGCAACACATTTGATGTGTAGGAAGCCTGATGGAGGTAAGCGTTGCCACTGAGAAGGTAGGTACAATAAGGATTTAAGTGAAGTGGCGTCGGAAGGTAATGTTACTTTTTGTGCTTCCCTGTGTTGGTAACATTGCATTTCTATACATTGGGTTCTGCTAGATTATTGCTGTAAGCATAAAGTACTGGTTATTTTTGTTACCAAGATAAGATTCCTTCTTTAAGTTAGCCAGGTGTGGATCAAGTGACATTTTTGTAGTTCTCTAGAGATTTACATCCTTGATCATATTTCTTTCCTGAAAAAAGACAGGTTATCAGATGTATGCTGCAAGACTTGATTTTTTTTTTTTTAATCATTAATTATATCACTTCCTTTGTAAGAATATTCTACATTAGATTTAAGAACATTTTGTTTTCTTAACTTGCTCATGTGAATGTTAAATATTTCTCTGAATACTATTTTGCCCAGGTTTTGCTTGTAATGGACACCAGAACACAGCAGACTTTCATACTGAAGGTGAGTGAAGTCTTTTATTACTATTCTAAATGGTTTGGCCTCCTGAATTACATCACTGCACAAAGATCAATTTGCATCTAAAATTCAGAGTAATTGCTATGATACATTGTTACGTTAATAGATTCGTATTATGGACACTGGAATTCTTTCTGCTGATATTATGTTCTTTCCCTTCCTTTCTCTGTAACATCTCTAGGGCTCAGATGTGCCAGTTTACTCACTTGAGTTGCCCCTTATTATTGAGGCTGACACCTTAGCAGGCTTCAGTAAAGAATCAGTTTCAAGGTGCTGCAGAAAACATCTGTAAAGCCCCAGTAGGCTGAGGGCATGTTCAGGCTGCTCCTGGAGATGAAAATTCTCCTTAGCCCAAGTATATCCACAGCACTTTGTGTTTGATCTTCCCTTAGTGAAGAATATGGTATTGGCCAAAGTGGATTCTGGATGAAATGGACAACCAGTCTTATTCCAAAGTGCTTGTGTGTGTTTTACATCAATAGGCGATGGAAACTGACTTTGATGTTACTAAACAATAGAATTAAGGAATAGTTTATTAGTCAGAATAAAACTTTTCACATTACTTTTGTGCTTCAGAAAGTGCTCAGGTCAAGATCCCAATATGCTCAGAGCATCTGTGATGCTGAGAATTAGTTTAGTATGAATATTGTTATTGTGGCCATTATTTCAGGCTCCCCTTGACATGAATTCCATGCTGATAGGAGGAAGGGCTGAAAGAAGAAACTGTCCCAAACATAAAACTCTAATTAATTGTTAACATCTTATAACTTCACTTCAGGTCTGGCTTGTGACCCTGCCTTAACTGCATTTGGCCTTTAAAATTGTTTGCCTTAAATATATGCAGGGTACAGAAAACCTATTAGTTCCTCAGAAAGAATTTGTAGTGAATATTGTATGTTAGAACCTCATTTTATCTGCTGGCAGATAGGGTAACATTGAATTTCCCATTTAGCTGCTTATGTTTATCAATATTGTAATAGGTCACGCTATTGACATAATTATTTTTTCCTCTTTCTCTCTCCCCTCCCTCTCTCCCTCCCACATCAATTTTTTCACTTCTGGCAACTTCATCTCTGTGCTACCTCCCAAAAATCATTACCTCTCAAGGAGACTAATCCTTTCCTTTCCTTTTTGTTGTGGTGGTTGTTGTCTTTACTAAAGTACAATGGAAATGTGAGGATTACCTATAAGGCTAAGGCATCCTTTTGTCTTTAGAACTTGAATTGAATGTTTTTAATAGTGTCTTTTGGTCACACACAAAAATAAAATTTTGAAAAAAGGTCACAGGGAAATAACTGAGTGTCATCCTGATGACTTAGTTTGAGAGAGATTCTAATAAAAACATTGACCCATGTAATTGATTTTAATGGCAGCTTTGTGCCATCTTCTGTTCTCTGGAAATGCGCCAGATGCCATCAGCACAGCCTCGGGGGACCGAGGGGCATAGAGCAGCAGATGAGTGGTTTCTCTGAAGCCCAGAGTAACTCGGATAGATTAGTTTGGTTGATAAACACATAGCACAGCAGGCTCCAAAGGCAACTGAGGGTACAACTGACCTTTTTGTTCTCTGTCAGGGTCTAAGGAAAAGTAGTGAGTACAGCAGGAGCAGAACGACCATCATCCCCCGCTGTGTGCCCAACATGGTGTGTCTGCACAAGTACATCATCTCCGAGGAGTCTGTCTTTCTCGTGTTACAGCATGCAGAAGGTTTGTTCCTTGTTTAAGTATATTGTTGAAGAGAGTCAAAGGTTTCAGTTTTAATCGACGGTACATTTCATTGTCTAATTTATCTCTCGTACATCTAATTAAAATATTTTTAGTGCGCCTAAGAGATGTCATCCCATCCTCTGCCCCTCCCTCTCCTTTCCCCCCCATTCTCCGGTGGATCTGATTCCTGTTTCAAATGGCCTCAAATCCTGATGGGTTGCTTGAATTGTAGCAATATTGAAAGCTTCCAACTTTATTTTCTGCAGGAGAGTGAGTGCTTTGACTGCAACAACGATGTGCAGCATTTACAGTCATCTCGCGGAGATAAAGTATTTGCCTACTTTTGTAAACTTTGGCTGGTAAATCTTTTTAGCATCTTAAAGAAATAAAAAATTTAGTTCTATGAGGGAAGGATTTTTAATTTACTAAGTGCCTTCTAAATCAGATTTGTGCAACACAGAGCCTTGTGCAGCACCCTGCACCATTCGTTTATTTGCTGAAAGTTAAAATAACAAGTATTTACACAAGAGTGTAATAGCTCTCTACTAAAACCCATGAACATTTGCCTATCGGTTAATACTGCATAGTTATTCTGATCTGGATTTTTAAGAAAATAGCTAGTGGCATCACACAGGAGTTCAAAGCAGAACCACAGAGTTGTGCCTTCAAACTATTTATAAAATTCCTGTTAAATGTACAGGGAACAGGTGGCACGAAATAATTACGTTTTGATTTTTTTGTCTAACACCTGGATTTAAATATTCCCTAAATGTAATTACCTGTATTTGTTTAGAATGAGCACAGAATATAAATTTTGGGGTTACTAATAGTTCTCTTTTTAGGAAATGTTAATAATTTAGTCAGAATGGATGGTATGAAGGAGGTAAGCTAACTGATAGAGAGGATAATTTTAATACATTGAATATTATTTTACTCCTAATAACTTAGATTTTGGATTTTTCATGAACAGTTTGTCACATGAGACCAGTTAAAGTTAACTTTATAACATGAATGATTGTTTCTGCTATGTGTGACTTAATTTTGCCATGAGTGGTGATGCATGAAAAAAGGCCTCACAGTACGGTACTGCCTGATGGTGATCTCGAGGGTTTGCAGTGCTGATCTGTACAGTGCTGCTTTTCTTGAGGTGTGTGTAATTCAGCAGAATAACTTGGTGACTCTCACCTGAACTGTAATCTCCACATAAGCTGGTACATTTTGTGTGGAGAAATAATATTTTTTAAAAAATCAACAAAACAGGCTAAAACTCAACCCTTGTCAAATACCAGCTGCCCTTATGGGCTAGCATAATCAGAAGACTAGGAATGTGGTTTTTTTAAATATATTTTATTTCATCTTTAATATTTCTGTAATTTCTGAAGACCTCTAGTTTTCCTCTTTTCTTGAGGAAGAACATTCCTTCTAAACACAGATGGAAAACCAGGTGAAGAACTAGTGGAATTTGGAGGGGAAATAGTGGTTGGCTGGAGGGAGCAAAAATTTTAAGAGAGGCTTTGTGTGGCCAGTTGACAAAGATAATCCCCTGCAAGTGATAATTTTATTGTGACAACAGCGAGAAGAATGGAGACATTACTGATCAGAACTCTTTAATTTAAGAACAGAAACCTCAGCTTAACATCTGAGATGAACAGAACGTTGTCCCTAAAAAGGAATGACCGTCTCTTGGTCATGTTTGACGTGGTCATGAATCCAATGAAATGCGCTTGGCCTCAACATCTTGCTCTAACATTGGCTGTAACGTGGTTTTGAGTTCTATGGGGCAAGGATTTTTAATTTACTAATTGCCTTTTAAAATCAGGCTTGTGCAACACAGAGCCTTGTGCAGCACCCTGCGCCATTCGTTTATCTGCCGACAGCGCAGATGGTGTCTGTCGAGCACCCCCACTTTGGCTGGCCGGGCAGCAAACGCACCCTCGGAGGCAGGCGCAGCTCATGCTGCTTTTCTCCCAGCTGTGGGTCAAAGCCAGGCAAAGAGGAGACGGGGAGGGAGGTGAGTTATTCTGAGATGGAGTTGGGAGAAGAGGTACTCATGAGGTCTGAGCGCTTTCTATAGGGAGAGCTCTGAAGGGGAACGGGGGGAAGGGAGTGTGAGAAGAACTGAAGTGCATTGCAGGGAGGATGGAGGCCTGGCAGGCTGTGCTGGGAGGAGCTGCAGGGACCAGAATGGATTTCAATGTGAGTGAGGGCTGTTGGTGGTAATACCCGATACACAGGTTGACTTGGTTTGGGTCTAAGTTATAAGCTGTGTAGCGTTTTCCCTCCTTTTCTGTTAAAGCAGTAAGTAGTTTGGAAATAGATTCACCTCCACCTTTGCCTGTAAACCATTTAAAAGTGACTGTGTGCTATAAGGACCTTTCTCTGATTATTAGGGAATTAAGAAGTTTAATTTCTTGAAGAATAGTCCCATGCTTTCATGAACTTACTGTCTGGGCTCAGAACAGGCAAAGGGAGAAGAGACATAGTGATAAGTTCTGTTCTAAAGACGGATAGCTGGGGCGCAAAGTGATGAGTAAATTGCCCAGGAGTTACATATAAAAAATGTATTGCAGGTGTAGAGCCTAATGCCCTCCCTGACTGGGGCAATAATTCTGTGTTGCTTCTGGAACTGTGTGGCCTGTGCCTCTTACCATGTCCCGGGAAACTGATGCTGGGGAGTGATTCAAGAGAAAGGCTTCATTTTCTAGCTCTACCTGAATAAAGCGATAATAAAACAAGGGCTAAAATTATGCTGTACTACATGCAGGGACTAGTCTTGCTTACCCCACTGGTGCTGATGGGCTTGATCACATCAGTCTTATCTTAGTAGCAGTTAGTAGCAGTAGATATTATTACAAGGATAATAACATCAGGAATCCCTGTAGATAAAGCTACCTTAAAATTTTGTCCATCTCTGACCAAATAGAGATAGAGAAGGTGCTTGTAGTTAATTCCAGGAAAGGATAGAAATTTCTAGGATGGTAGTTTTTAAGTGAGAGTCTCTGAAATTTTATTCCAGGACTTTATGAATATCCTTAACATTCACACTCCAAGTAGTTCTATTTCAATCAGAAAGAAGATTCTGCCAGTCAAATTTATAAGTAGTGGTGATTTATTATGTTAGGTGTGTTATCTACACTGTTGAGAAGTTCAAGGGTAAAATATGAATTTGTGGGCAGTGGTTTGAATTACAGCAAATTCAGAGGAGATTTTAATGATACAGACATCATGTATTTGTACAGAAATCATGTATTTGCTAAACAGCTCAGTATCTCCTGTACATAGTAAATTTTAACTGTATTAAGTACAGTGCTGTTCGGTTTTATAGGGAATTATGCCAGCCTGACTGCAGACTCTTGCTTGAGATGAAGACTTTTTTCCTTTTTTAAGATTTTTTTCATTTGGTAAATCGTGATGCCATTACATGCTCAGAATCGGTGAGTGATGTCTTGGATTCTCTTGCAGGCTTTTCTCATGGCAACAGCTGGAGGCTTCAAAGGTGTCTCAGAAGCACAAAAGTCCATAAAGTTATCTTGTAGCTTTGTTGGAAAGCACTTGGCAAATTCTAGTGTGATAGAGAGCCAATCTGATGTTAATAAGGCCTCGCTTCTTCTTGGCACTGCTAACTCTAGAAATTTTAGGAACAGATGCTTCAAAAATAGGCTGGGGGGCTTCCATGGGACATCAAAGTTTAAGTGGCTGTTAGAAGCTGTCAAATCTCTTTAAGCATAAACAAGCTGGAGTTCCTATCAATCTCGAGAGCACTCAAGAAACTTCATGCTGAAGAGGCTTGCTGCACGCAGGAATTGATAGACAACAGCATGGTAGCACTCTGCCTTGCAAAGCTGGGGATTTATTGTCAGGAAAGGAGATGGTACTTAGCTCTAAATATTCGGCAGCAATCAGAAAATGTGGGAAAGGTGATATGGCCCTTGGCAAGTGACTTTTTTAGGAGGCTGCTTTGAAATAATAGCTTTTGCTCAAAGTGCGTCAGGAAATGGGAGCTTTGCCTAAACTAGGAAACCTTGTAGCAGAGATTCACCAGGAGCAGTGGAATCAGCCGTGTGTATAAGCCTCTGGTGTTTGTAACTACTGTCGTGTTAGAGATTAGGCTGGAGATTAGCTTCCAATTTGTGTGTATGCTGCAACCTCTCTGTGGCTGCCTTTGGGATGCTGCGAAACATTATTGTTGTACCATGGTAGTGCCTGTATGTCTGGTTCTCTTTGGGCCTAGAAACTGTACAAGCATGATTTTAAGTAGTTAAGTATGTTAATGTGATTACGTTTACCAGTAGACGTGTCTTTATTGGAAAGGAGGACAGTGATTCTAAGAAAGCCATGGCGTTGTTCTTTTTCCAGTAAAGAAGAATATGAGTTCGCCTGAGGTGCATGACTTAAAATTGGCCATAAACAAATTCTTATGCACTGATGCAGAGAGTTGGGCCCCGTTTTAGAGAATAATTCAAGCAGATGTCTTGCAGTACTCTGCTTTTCTTCCCAATCCAATCACAATTATTTGGAAGCCTGGATTGTTCACTTAGACTTTGTTTGGGATATTCGAAATACAGCGGTTACTGCATTCTTAGCTGCATTCCATTTCTGCAGGAATTGGAGTGTATCATCCTTCAGCATAAACTCCTGGGGCAAGCTAGCAAAAGCCATTGATTTATTTTGGAATATGTCTCCTTAGTCAGACAGTCTTTCAGGATGTGAAGCTGAAATTGTAAGTGTCTGAGCACTGGATGAGGAAAAATCCAACAGATGATGAGTTTTACTTGTCAGCTAGAACAAAAACAGGTTTAGGAGACTAAATTTGCTGATCTGTTAGTTCTTGTTTTATCCTATGATACGTACTATATAGTCTCTGTATCTTCTTCTCTTTGATGTTCCTGCATCGGGTGCTATTAATAAGAAAAAACTGCAAAAATGTTTGAAAGAATATAAAAATATTAGATTCCTAGCTAGCTTCATCACTTGGTCACTATATGCTGAAATTTTCTGTTGATTATTTTGGACACTAACTTTTTAGATCTTGCCTCCACAGTGCTGGAAAAGTGGTTAAGTAAGGCAATTCTAGTAAGTAATTTTACATTGAATAAGTGCAGAAGAATGGAGAGCTCAGTCATTTTCATGGGCTAATAAAACCGGAATGAGTGAGCTAGACTGGTTGTAGAGCCAGTTCATGGAAGAAGAAAATAATCCTAATACTTCGTTGTGTTAATACTGTTCTCCAGAAATTATATTAAACACTAATAAACTTCAGCTTGAAACAGTAGCTTTTATAGTTATTTAGTATGTTAGACTATTTGACAATGACTGAAGCTTACTTGTTTGGATTGATTTCTGTAATTTTGTTTTTATAGATTCCTGATACTGTATTAGCTTGGCTTGCTAATGGGTTTTCTTGATCTTACACAACACATGGGGAAAGGGGGAAAGATTATTAGTATGTCATTCATAAAGGCATAATTATATACCCAGATACAAATATCACTCTTGTTTGACCCTGGATTGGACGTTTTCAGAAAGGAATAAAATTGTTGTTTTTCACTACAGAACACAATTATTGAATAGCATTTATTTATGTATTTCCACTTGACCAGGAGGCCAGTATCAAAATATTTGTATGTAAACATATTTGGATGTAATACATTTTCTCCCTGTATTTACTTGCATTTAACTCTAAATTGGAGTTGCAGTAAGTAGTCATTTCCGCTGTGATTTCTAAGTTCAAGTGATTATTAACGAGCAACTTCTTTTTAAGAAAGTTAATACATTTACAAATAGAAAATGTGTCATTGTTGCAGTTCTGTCTGCTTTCATGTATGGACAGTGGTAAATTCCTGAATACCATAAGGATAAAGAGATTTTGTTTGTCTTTTGCAAATTTAAAATTTGCTGAAAGCATTTGAAGTTGAACATTTTGAAAAACACAGCCTGAACCTCTTGACTCTTGCAGTGATTTTTCTGGGGGATTATGAAGGATTGATCTCAACACATCTGTTTTCCTTCCTTAATCCTTGTTGGGTCTCCTTAAGCTACACTAAGACTTTGAGTAGAGTCCAAAATCTAGTGGAAGCTGCATGAAGTCTTGCGTGAAGTGAGATGAAGGGAGCAGAAGACACGAGTTGTCCTGAAGGCAGCTTGACCTGTCTGTAAGTGAAAAACGACGCTGCAGGAGGGTAATTCTTGCACTTCTCATACTCTTAGGCAGCCCAGCCCCTTCTTACCCTAATACAGGGGTACAAAACATTTAGGGCAGTGAGAGCCCTTCAGGTGTCATGTGGGAAAGCACACCTGATATCCGTAATGACAATAGTGGCCATGGACCACTGAAATACAGTTTTTTTTCTGCATCCCTGGCTCCAAAACTTAACCCAGACCTCCAGGAGAAAGACTTTTTTTTTTTACTTACGTTTGAGGAAGGATTGAGGGTGCTCATCTTCGCATTAAAGCTGTGCCTGGAGGCCGAGGTGCTGTCGTACGAGGCACTGCGCAAAGCTGTGGCCATGGAATGTGGGTCTTCGTGGGTTGTGTTCCTTTTGAAACCTGAAATCTGTGTTTCTGTAAGAAACTTGTGAAGCAGTACTGGCATAATAATCACGAGCAACGGAAAGACAGAAATATTTAGCGTTTACTTGTGCTAATTAATATAATGCAGGCAGGGTGGGGAGATTTTGCATGTTTATTAAATGCAGCAGGGGCGTGGTTGTCAAATGAGGTTTTACTGTTCATTGTAGAATGACTCCAAATAATTCCATACCTAGTTAATAAACTGGGTAAAGTTATTTTGCAAACGCTGTTTACTTACTTTATTTGATACTTTTAATAAAATTAATTGTTCCATCGTAATCTTGAGGTAAAATTAAACTTTTGTGTTGCTGCTTTTATCATGGATGAAACTGTGGAAAAGACAAAGTCTTCTACGAATATATAAAAATACAGATATTCTCTCTTTCTCTCACCATCCCCCTTTCTTTTTCCCTCTTCCTCTTCTGTTTTTTCATTTCCCAGATTTTTCATAGCAAAACCATGGATAAATGTAAAAATGTAAAATTAGGAAAAAAAATCAGTGAATATAGCATGTAAAAAATTTATTTTCACCAAAGTCTGTTTAAAGCTGGTTGAAGAGTCCTATGCAAGCCACAGGGCTCAGAAGCCATGGCAGCACCCCAGCTCTGCCTTTTCACTTCTGAACAGCTCTGAAACGTGCTGTGTTTAAGGCAAGTGGCTTCACCTTATGAGTCTGCGGGGAACCGCTGCCTCTTTCCAAGGTGAGGTCCCGCTCCCTGGGCACTTCTGGCAGGACCACAGCCCTCGGTTTTCCCGGCACAGGGTCACATGTTGCTTGTGTCCGGGCAAGCTGGGAGTAAAGCAGTGGGCTCTGCCAGGCACGACTGCTGAGCTGTGCCTTGCCACTGAGGCACCGCATGTGTGTGTGGGTAACTTTGTTGCATCTTTGGGTAAGTTTTTATAACACACATTGGTCAGTAGAGCAGTTCTTGTTCTCTTCTCTACCAGTGCTGTTGATTTATGTGGCATCCTTTCTCGTCGTCTTCTGGGAGATGGCAAAGGTCACTCTAACATAAATCCATTTGTGACATGACAGAAACCATGTGGATCAATAGATCTAAATGGTCAGTTTTACTATTCGGCTCAAGCTGTTAGAATTCCCTCTTAATATTTTTAATATACTTAGTTTTACTGCAAGCAGCAAGATTTTTTTTTTATTTTGTTGTTTCTGTTCCTCTTCAAAAACAAGTCTTGTCTTAGCCAGGGGGATATAGGGCAAGAAAACTCCACATGATATTATTCAAATTTATTTTTAAAGTGTCAAGGTTTTTCTGCCTTTGATAAGTTATTTTTTACATACCTGGGAATATATAAAACTTGTTCCTAGGCAATGAAAAAATACTTTCTTCTTTTGTTGTACTTTTAAAAGGAATTTTTCCTGATATGGAGAGTGTTTAAAAATGACTCTTAAAGACTGTATTTTGGAAAAATATAAGACTCTATTTTACCCAGGTAAATAAAAAAAGACAGAACCAAAAAAAACTATCAAAACTTTGCAGATGCCCAGTGGGCTGGATACTTTTTTTCTTCTACAAGGATTTTGTTAGAACTCCCGTATCTTCCAGAATTTTTGTACAGTCTTTTAAATTGAAATGTATTGGCTTTGCATTTTTCCGTAAATTATCAAAGGCTTTCTAGCTTTCAGCCAAATTCTTTGACACGTGCAAAAGATGCAGAAACTTCTTGATTTGTTTTGTGCAAATTATGTTTAGTTACCTGTAAGCTTTTTTTGATACATGCAGTATTTGGAAGCATAAAGTCCTATTTTGTACCATTAAAATTTAACTATTACTTTTGGAGCTGTAGCTTTTCTGAGAGTCTGGTGTGAAGAAACTGGTTTGCCAATGTAGCTTAGAATATTGATAGGTTCTTATGGGATGCAGCAATGTGTGAAAAATCTTCCTTGAATTTTGAAGTTAAAGAGGGAAATACATCTGTATTTAACTAACAGAAACCCACTTCTTCAAAGAGGGAAACAGATCCTTAAAATCTCCTGCTAATATGTGGTAATGCCCTTCCCTTTATTGAACTTGCTTATTCATGGGTTTTAGTGTGTTTTCCCTTAACGTTGCTCACGATCTGGGAGCTGTGATATAGAAGTATTTGGTATGGGCAGAACTGGTGATGGGTGCCAAACCATTTGATCTTCCCTAGCTTTTGCTTTCTTTAAGACAGCAGATGGAGATCAGTAACCACCATGCAACTTGACACAGACTCTAAAATGAGACTTTACTGAAGTTAAAAGAAAAAAAAAGCTTAATCTCAGATGCGGCTCTTTAAATATTTAATGTACTAATACAAGCCTACTCGAAAGCAAGTTGTGGTTGCTGTAATAATTTCATCCTGAGGTAGTGGATCTAACTTAATCTATGGGCCTAAGGAGATAGTGTATTGTGACAATGAGAGTATTTGTTTGTCTTGTCATGAAACGGATTCTGAGTTAAATTGAGTATTTATTCCTCCCTCCTCTTTTCTTGCAGGAGGAAAACTGTGGTCTTATGTCAGTAAGTTCTTAAACAGAAGTCCTGAGGAGAGCTTTGAAATTCCTGAAGCCAGAACATCCAGTTCAACTAAAATTTACCTGGAGCAGCCAACTCCAAGTCCTAAAGAAATTGGTAGCAGCACTGATTCCAGAGAGAGCTACGGGGAGAGCGCGCTGAAGGTTGTCCCGCTGAAGAGCAGCCTAACGCCGAGCTCTCAGGATGACAGCAGCAACCAGGAAGATGGCCAAGAGAGTTCAAAGTGGATGGACTCGGGATCCAGCTCGGAAGAAGAGTGCACGACTAGTTATTTGACGTTATGCAATGAATATGGGCAAGAAAAAATTGATTCTAGCTCTCTAAACGAGGAACCCGTGGTTAAACTGGGAAACGAAGGTCTGAATACCAAAGAGAGAAGTTGCTTAGAGAAATGCAGCGTTGTCGGCAGCGATAGCTTCACTTCTCAGATCGCGTCTCAGGAACGAAAGCTTTTCGTTGACGATGTGGATTTGGAAATAGCTAGCCCTACTAGGATATTGGACTCGTTAAATAAATCAAAGAAGAGCCCCATGGAACTTTTCAGGATAGACAGCAAAGATAGCACTAGTGAGCTCCTGGGGCTTGATTTTGGGGAAAAATTATATAACCTGAAATCGGAACCTTTGAAGCCGTTGTTTTCTGTCCCAGATCATGACAGAAGCTTGGATGCACTAGAGAACAAAATGGGTGTGAGAGCTCATGACACTATAAGCAGGGGTTCAAATGACTCTGTGCCTGTTATCTCCTTTAAGGATGCTGCTTTTGATGATGTAAATAGTGTTGATGAAGGAAGGCCTGATCTCCTAATAAACTTACCCGGTATGTCTGATGAAATGGAGGAGGCAGCAGTGTCAAGGCCAACAAAGTTTACGAAACCCGATAGGGACATGTTGGAAATAAAGTTACTAGAAACACCTGATGTCTTACAGCTGAATAATTCTGCAGAGCCGTGCAAAGTATTTGATCAAGAGCCAAATCATGTGGCACCAGAAGTGGGTGATCCTTCCTGCAAGGAAGCAAATGGGCAAAGTGGTGTCACTCAGGGGACTCTTGGGGCCCTCTTTACATCTGGCCGAGAGGTAGGTAGTTCAGAAGACGGGGCTCTGTTTCAAGGGCTTGGAGCCTACTCCCTAAACGTGACAAGCGAAGAAGAAAGTTTATTTGTTTCCAACCCGCTCTCAGGTGCTCAAGATGTTAGCGTGGACGGAGACATGCTAAGAAATGAAGCAGTGTTGCTGTTTTCTGATCAGACTGAAGGCTTTGGGAAAGAGGAAACAGACTCGGCTTTGTTACCAGCAGCTGAAAGTGAAAAGGCAGCACCAAAGAGGGAAGACAAAACAGCAGTAGCAGGGGAGAAGGAAATACATCAAATTTTTCAGGACCTCGACGAAAGATTAGCGATAACCTCCAGGTTTTATATCCCAGAGGATTGCATTCAAAGATGGGCAGCTGAAATGGTTGTAGCCCTTGATGCTTTACATAGAGAAGGAATTGTGTGCCGCGATTTGAACCCAAACAACATCTTATTGAATGATAGAGGTCAGGAACTTTTGCAAATGCATTTCTTTTTATTCGCTGTTGCTTCCAATTAACTGAGTAGGCGTTTTATCTTGTAATTAGTATCTTCATTTCCTGTCTAGAGCTTCATTATCAGTGCAGCAAATTCACCCCCAGTAATAGCTTCTAGTACTTAATGATGCCATTATTCTTAATGATACTGTTTTTAGCTACAAAAGGAGTAATTACAGTTCACTTCTGCAGAAAATGGAAGGGAAAAATGTTTTGATTTCTCCTGTCGTTTTGTTTTTAGGACACATTCAGCTAACGTATTTTAGCAGGTGGAGGGAGGTTGAAGATTCCTGTGACAACGATGCCAGAGAGAGAATGTACTGTGCCCCAGGTTAGAGCAATCACCTATACTGTTTCACTTGGAAAGTAGATTAGTAGCTTTCTTTTTCTCACGAAGCCTCTGTTGCATAGAGCTCGAGATCATGCAATCTCTGAATTTCCTTTGCTTCTTCCTGAATGCCTTAAAAAACGAGAAGGCTTGTAACTGCTTTATTGTTGAACTGTTGTGGAGTTTGTTAGATCATTTCCATAAAGTGTAGTTGTATTGAATGTCTTGTTTAAGCAGATTTAAGGAATGTTTTGGTTTTTTGCAGTTATTTGCTGTGTGTGAGTATGTCTTGGTAACTGAAAAGAGCAAATAAGGGAAAGGGCAGACTGAAAAGATGACACTAAGAGCCTTAAAAATACAAAAATTTATACATGCAAAGAAATTTTGTTGGGAAAAAAAAAAACACAGGAGTTTGAAAAATACAGCCCTAACAGGCTCAGAGATGCTTCTGACATTTTTGATGAGCTACAGTGCACTTTGAAATAGTTTAGAGAGCTCTTTTCTTAGAACTGCTTTCATCAATCATGAGGGTGATAAAATCAGTATCTCTTGGGTTTTTATAGCAAGGATGACACTTGAAACTGAGCCCTCCCTCTTTTCCTTTTTCCAATTTATTTTCTGCTAATATAGTGGTCAAATGGTAGTGCCAGCCAAAACCCAGGTGCTTTACTTGTTACTTCACATTTGAAAGATTTCATAGCTAGCTTAGAAAGCCTACTTTTGGAGCTGAAATGACTACTGGGAGGCTATTCAGGCTTTCAGTTTCTCCTTTCTGTTCTGAATTTGAAATGCCAGCACATCCCCTTTCTGCTGAGCGTTCGGTCTGGCTGGGCATCGCAACTTGGCCTGCAGGTAGTCCTCAAGCTCAGAGTCAGCAAGCGTGCTCCGAAGAATATAGAATGAGAGTGATCGGCAGTGGAAGTTCTGAACTTAGTTTGGCATCAGGTTGGCTTAATCCTACAACTGAAATACAGTAAAGAGGTGATCTCTGTGAATAAAGGCAGCGAGATCTCAACAAAAATTTGAATGCCAGTCTCTGGAGTAAAATATTTTCTCTCCAGATGCGAGTCAGAAGGGCAGGTATTACAGAGAGGAGTTCTTTCTACCTAGCAAAGCAAACCCAACACCTTTGTTCTACCCTCACTCCGCTTTAATTTAAGAACAAGCAAGTTGGGAAATCCTAGCGATTCTTGTGGTTGTTAAACAGAAATGTGTCCCTGTTGCCAAAGTGCAGGATGTCCTGTTCGAAAGAGGTGTTGCCCTGCCTCCCCCGCCCAGGCTCTCCTGGCAAAAATGGACGTGCAGCCTTTTCCCACCATGTCATCATTAACGAGCTGTGAAAGTCAAAGCTTAATTTTTCTATATTTTAATGAGGATCCAAAGAGAGGTGCTTTTTTTGCCCCCTAAGCCCCAACCAGCCAACTCCTGCAGTAATGAAGTGTTTAGGGAGCAGTTGCAGGAAGATTTAGAAGTCCCCAAATGCAAGAATAAAGTTTTTCGCACCGTTGTTATTTCCACCTCACAGCACAGGTGTGGAATCCACCCAGGCTTTGCTTGGTTAAGTGACCCTCTCCTCTCCGCCCTCTCTGCCCTACCTCAGGCTGTGATTTGCTTGGTGTGCCAGGAGCTCTGTGAGCTGCAGGATCAAGATTTGCAAATGGAAATATCAGATATACGCGCAAGATGGCTGAATTGCTACTGCTCTATGATTCCTGCCTTTCTTGTTTCTTGATCTTAATGTTAGCTCTGCAAAGCATACGCTTATTTTATTGTAGCTATTTCATGCTGATTTTTGCATAGGAGTGTAATGCTTGGTATAACTCAGTGCTAAATACATTTTGGAGCCAAGTGCTATTCTATTCCGAGCAAGGATTTAGTACCTGTACCTTCAGCAATGGTGTGTAGCTGAGTCTAAAACAGCTTTCTTAGGGCTACTGCTGCTGGTAAATTTTGCTCTAGAAGTTTTGACTATTTTTTTTTAAAAATAATCATGTTGGTGGGCTTTCTTTAGGCTCTGATGTTACAGAAAAAAAACCCCCACCTCTTTTTGAATGATCATTTTTCATTTTAAGGGGTGTACCATGTCCCAGAATCCCATGTCTCCCCTTTATCATGGTAGCATTGCTTCTCCGGATGCTTTGTGGAATTAGGATTTTGAAGCTATACTTGTACTTCAGTCCAGCACACTGAGAAAATTGTTAGGTTTTGGTTTTTTAAAATTCTATTAAAGCTCTTTTAAAAACTGTTCAGAAGTGTTTCCCACAGCTTGATTTCTCCCTGCTGAAGGAAGGGCTGCAGTTCTGCAGAGCTGAACAAGTGATCTTCGCAAAATTTCACCTAGTCTCACAATTTCTTATTATAATACAACACAGTGACTAAATATTGTGACTCCAAGTGAGTCTTTATCTTGTTTTGAATTTTCTGTGTGTTTCCAGTATTGTCTGCTGTGTTGCCCTACCTCTGGGTACTCTCCTTTTCCCTCCAACTGAAGGATGCGGTGAAACTTGGCTTGTAAATTCCTGTCTCCCTGTGTTTAGCTCAGTGTTTTGTTTTCATCAGATTTCAGAATAGAATAGGGTTTGGATATGATAACTTGTATGTCACATGCTTTCAACTTTTTGTTATTTAAATGCACTTGTTAAAAGTATGCCTTTAGAAACGGAAGATATCTTCATCAAAACACTCTCTTTCCGGGTCTAGTGTTAGAGGCTGAGAACAGATGAGGAGTCTTGGGAGTCTTTTTCTACGTTGATTTTTGAGGAGTAAATTTTGGAGACAGAAAAATGAGAGGATGAATGTGAAATTTAAACAGATTGCAGGATATTTTCAATTTAGCGTAGGTAGAAAATTGCATTGCAGAGTTATGTGGAAGATGTAAAATTGTATTTGAAACAGTTTTTTCTTTTTGATTGATAAGGTTTCATTTTTACAGCACAAGTTATAAAGTGTTTAGCAGTGAAGTGCCTGAGGACATAGTTACATGTTAAGTTGCTTTATTGGTTGAAAAACATGAAATCTGTATTCTACAATGTAGATTTCAGAATCTAATTCTTGGAGGGGCTAGGGATAGCAATGTATTAATGTTGAAACATTTCAGACGCAGGGGAGAGTAGAAAGTCTGACTACATGGAACTTGCTTGCAGGATCTAGGAGTTTGTACTTGAGGCTTTCAGTAGCTCAGGTAGTATTGGTACAGAAAGAGTGATCAGATCCTTGCCATGGTGAATAGCAAGGACTGGCTCAGCTGCTGGTATCCTATGAAAAGCAGAGAGTCAATGTCACTGTGTATATAGAAAAGAGATTTTGTAGTGTATATATAAAATAACAGAACAAATGCAAACCTTATAAATGGAGAAGAGGCAAGAAGATGAGGGAAGAGATAGTTTATAAGGCTGCGTTCCATTCCCTGCTAGCAATATAATTAATTTTGCATGGGATAGCAATTGTCATTTAGTATCGTGCGTAAATTAAAAAACAAGGGTAGATCTGTTGCAAGAAGTGCACTTCTCCAGCAGTGACGGCAGGTGGCATTATACCATTAATAGATTTTGCTGGTGCGCTTGCTGCCTGTAATTTGCCTTATTTTGCATTAGAACTGGAGACGGAAGATGCGGTTTATTTGCAATGATTTGCGTATCAAGAATTGTGCTTGCAAGCTCAGAGTCGCAGTGTGTTCTAATGCTGTTGAATCTGTTGGGAAAGCTGCATAACTCTCTTTACTCCCACATACTTCTAGTAAAAAAAAAAAAAAAAAAAAAAAGAAAAAGTTCGTGGTGAACCAACTACTGCAACAACAAAGCTATCTGCAGATGCTTAAAAGTAGCGCCTGTGCTATACTTTGATTAATGGCCAAACTAAATCTTTACTGTTCACCTATGATAAGTCAAATGTTGTTTCTCTAACCCACAAGGGAAATGATGGATTATAAATCATCCCCTATAAACTCAACACCACTTCAAGTAAAACTGTGGGGGGCTTGGCCAAGAATAACCTATTTGCTTTTAAAGAAGAAATTAAGTGCTCGTAACTGAGAATTTCTGCTGCGTTAATACGGTTAAGGTGACTAATGTGAGGCTTGCGTTGTTTTGTCTTTAACTTTCCTCCTCTTTATTATAATAATTTTGTTTTCTCAGTGTTTTAAAGTGTGCTAAGCAGCTGATGTCTGAACACAAAGTTATTAGCAGATCAGATGAGAATGATTCACTTCTGTTTAAACAGCCCTTTGCTCTCGATGCCCCCTGAGAACTCTTATCACATATTTGTCAAAAAAACCCCACAAAAACTAACAAAAAATCCCTCGCGTTATCCACCTGCCTGGTGGCTGATAGTATCAGCAATGTATCTCCTTATCTCTTGGTTAATGTGCCTTGGTATTCTGAAGGGGGGAAAATTCCAGTAACAGATTCAATTTACATGGACAGAAACTTGAGCAAATGCCAGCCTAGCAGGGGGGCCATTATTCTGCTCTATAAATAAGTTTAAAAAAAGAAACAAACACACACACAAACCTGTGAATCAACATGTTTTGGTCTAATTGAGGGAAAAGCAAGATAGATGAATTTTGAAATGCAAATGATCACCTTCTGTTATTGAAGTACCGGTTTTGCCAACTTTGTGATCTTAAATATAAAGACTCGTTACCTTTAAATTGCAGTAATAATTATATTCCATTCTTCATAGTCATAATTTTTAAAATCAAATCGGTAACTTTTTTTAAAAAGCCCCCTCATAATGAGCTTAATACCTGTAAGAAAGACACAATTTTCTACAGTCACAGCCTAGTCAAGACTGTCTTCAGCTAAAACAGATTAAGTTGAGGATGTACTCATACAGAAAAATATTTAGGTACTTTTTTGGTCTGACCCCTGAAGTGTCATGTTGTAGAAGTAGCTTGCTGTTCTAACTTCTTGTGTAAATATGATGTGTGAATGAGATGTTTTATTTACACTCGGAGTTCTTGTTCCACCAGCAGGGACGTGTTCTGTCGCATCCCTGTAGTCTTT